CTCCCACCTGCCCCACCCCAACTCTGAAATATCCTTTCCCTCTCCTTTTCTCTTCCTCTTCCCTTTTCTCTCTTGTCACTACCCCCTTCACAGTCTCCCGTTTTATCACCATCTTAGCGGCTCCAATCATCCCAGCTCTCCCACCTGCGCCACCCCTCTTATATATATATATATCCTCTGATTCCTCTTTGATTTGAACCTGCTATGTCTCCCACATGCCATCAATGGGCTCGGTGTGTCATGCCTATATGCATCATGATTAATATCGCAAATTCAATGCATGTATGATGGCACACACAAAAAAACACATCTGAGTGTATATGATGGCTCCTCACAATGTGCCATCTATACGGTCAGAAGCCCTTTCATATGCCGCTCGGCAGGAAAAAGTAGCATATGGAGCACTTTTACTTGTGCATACTTGTGCCATCATTTTGTGAAGGAGTATAAGTCAACATTGCGAGTGCTGCACGGTCCTACGCAAGTAAACGACAAAGTTGAAGGGCAACTAGTAAGAGAAAAATGCCACTCAAAGTCGGTCCAAGGAGAAACACTGCCCTTCTTACAGGAAGAAACCTGATCAACTGCGTCAACTACATCGGAGTTGATTTGGGCAACAGCCACATCAAAGACCTACTTGGAGAGTCTACGTAGACTTGGAACGAAACCGGCAGCGACGTAGACAAACTGTCACACCCCAATAAGTTTCATGGCCTCGGAGGCCGTTGGTGAGCTGCGTCGTCTCATGCCTTCATTGTGTCAGGAGTCTTCCTAATGGGGAAAAAGAAAAGTAATGTAGTAATGCCTTTGTTACTAGTAGCGGTGCACTTGTTACTACATGTTACTACATGTTACTACTAGCAATGCCCTTAGTGGATAGTACTCCTTCATGGCCAAAGGAAGGGTCACCTCTTTGCCAAGCGCCACTCCAAACATCGTCATTTGGACATTTTGACCTCTTGGATAGCTGACCTCTCTTCCACTCCCTCCAGCTTCAGGTCCAAGGCGCTAAATTCAGGCGGGTCGAAAAGGCTACCTACTTGATCGAGCGCAAAACGAGTATCGCGCTAGAACATCTACCGCCCGCGGGCGCTACTTCGGAGCCAGCTAGCGGCCTAAACCTCCCCGAGGGTTTGCAACCACGGCCACCAGAGCCGAATCGTAGGGCGAAGTCTCCATCCTCAACACAAGGAAAATGTCAGTGCTTCCTGAAGGTGCAAAGTAGCTCACTGGCGAAGACATCACTTGCTGGCGTCGTGCGCGCTCTTCTTCTTGTTGTTTTGTCCTGCTCACGTGGCTGTCAGGCATCTAAGGCCCTTTAGAATATGGCCTCCACGCCTGCCGCTGCCACTGCTTCATGATAACAGGACTACATCCAAGCAACTGCACGACCCTTAAGGCCGGAAATGTCAAGCAAGTCGCTGTCACGAGTTCACTGCAGCCTGAGCCCCTAGTAGCGTCCTTGCTCCTAGTAGCGATGCCCTTTGCTGCTAGTAGCTTCTTGCTCCTAGTAGCGATGCCAGGAGCCCCTAGTAGCGTTCTTCTTCCTGATTGCAATGCCCTTCCTTCCTAGCTTCTTTGCCTTCATCACGCTTCCAATTTTGTTCTAGGAAAATTGTCTGGCGTGAACTTTACTCTGCCTCACGCCTGTGGACTCACAATGCGCTGTATTCGTCTAGTGGTCAAGAGGCCAAAGACATGAAAAACACCAGTCACCAACAATCGTGGACGCGCAGCACCTGAAGTACCGCTGCCAGCGGTTTCAGTCACTCCTGAACCCTATCCGTGCATCTAAGAGGTACTTGTAGGTTAGTTTTGCCTTGCTATTATATGCTATTATATAGGTTGAAGGCCATCGCTCTAGGTCTTGCCTGCTAGTTGCTCTCCCCTTTTCCTTTGCAGTTGCTGTAGCCTTTGCTGCAGCTTTTGCCCTGGCCTTCTCCTCCTTTGTCCTGTGTATGATATGACGGCGTGTGCAACTCCTTCCTGGTCCCATCCGTCATGCTCTTGCTCAACAATGATGCCCCCATCTCGCTGTAGCACGTGATCGGTCCAGCTCGAAGCGGCAAATATTCACACTCAGAAAATTTGCGATCAATATTTTTCTCGAATCTGGTACTGCTGAAGCGCGGTCTTGTCCATAGCGAAACCATCAAGTTGAGCAATATCTCCTGAAGCCGCTGTAGGTCTCGAAGCCGTTGCGGTTGCAGATGGGGCTGCTTCTCACTGCAGTAGCCGCTGCACCAGTGCAAATGCGAATGAATACGCAAAATTCAAATGTTGTATGCAAATGTGTGCAGTGTGCGCGCAAGTCTTTTGAACTTGCCTTAGAGCCTCTAAGTAAGTCTTTGTGTAGTAAGTAGTTCTACCCAAGACTGCTTGGGGTAGTTTGGCATGGTCGCGGTGTTGAAAGCACAAGCAGGTCTTGAAACGTCCGTTTTTGTAGCATATGCGAGATATGACACAGAGTGTCTCTTGACATATTGTGCAATCTGCCTTTTTGATCACGCTTGGGGCAATAACCCTGCCCCATTGAACCCAAATCCTTGTCACTATATAAATCAAACAGGGCCAAACATTATTCAACGAACAGCCAACACGATGTGGCCTTTCCGAAACTACAGGGCTTGGGGTCACATCCTTTAAGTCAAGTCACATCTCAGCAAAAGTTGTAGCAATCAAAGATGATTGGTGAGCCAAGGCATCAACGTACAAAGCGAGTTCCTCCAGCCTGTTCACACCTTTTAGATACTTCGGTTCAATGGACAAGTCGTACCCCTCTACAAGCGTGTACTCACCCGTGGCAGTTATGTACCTGACAAGCTTGGCAAGAAAATGAGAGAAGCCGATAAATTGCAACATTCTGCCACACTGCCACACTCAATCTCGCAGTCACATAGTGGCTTGTATATTAGAATCACAACAGGAGTTTGCAGGCGGGTTGCATACAAGTCGACAAAGCACCAGCTACAAAGACCTCCTCTTGGTTCTCGCAAACCACCTTCTTCAGAACCACGCAAACACTTGAGAACACGTCAGGATAGAGCGATAGGGTCAAAGAAAATATTGGCACTTGCTCTATATATGCTGATCTCTGGTTGACTGAGAGCTCTGTTTGCAAGGTGTGGGAAATCAAGGTGCTATCAAAGGTGGTGGGCATCATCTTGTCCAATTTGTAGTCCACGAATTTCATTACTCTTGAGACCAATTCTAAGGAGGCATCTTGGCTGTGAAGGTATTGGCGGATCTCACAGCGTTGCTTGGTCTTGGCTTCGTTCATGCTTCGTAGCTCTACCATGGTTCCTGAAATCTTCGAAATGCCTGTGCCAATCACCACAAAGCAGAAAATTGTGATGAGAATGTCAAAGAAGCGCTCATCTCTGCTGTCTACGTCAATCATTGGTGGTGACGGCGCATCCATCACATAACGAAATGAGTGTAAATACTGGATCCAGGGTGTTGAACCATCAATTTCCGTAAATGTAAGCCAATTGTTCTTCTGGTCCATTAGCAAAGAGCGGCCCAGGCCGAACCAGAAGCATGTCATTACGTGGGCAACTAGCAAGATTGCAACGGTAGAGTTGATAATGGCCACCACTAGCATAATCCACTGTCTTCCTGTTGAGGCAGCAATCTCTTGCATTAGGTCCTGAGCAATCAATAGGCTCAGCAAAACCATCATTTCTCCCAATTTATCTCTACATGATGCATTTATATACATGCCATGCTGAAGCGAGCACATCTGCGACCGTCATTGCGAACCTGGGCTAGGCACATCAAAGCGAGCCATCTTCAATAGCCGAACGAGCCGAAAGGCCCGAGCAGCCCGGATGAAGCGCACTATGCCAAAACTACTCTCCTCCGCTTCCTGAATGAAGTTGACTAGCGTAACATAGTCCAGGCTCACGACGGCGGCATCGATTATGAACCTGAGTGTTGCTCTACATGGTCATTTACCAGTGAAGCAGTCTCGTCCAACACGCCCCTTTTAATTAATTGCAAACGAGTGCACAAAGGTCAGTGTCGAAGAAATGACTGGACAATGACCAAAAACCGTTCATCCAAGGACAATCCGAGAGACCAAGTTTGAAGGTAGTGCCGGACAATCAACCACCGAGAGAGCACCAAGTGCCCACGCAGGTAGAATGCAGTGTTGAGATTCGTCACAATGTCTAGGCTCCAAAAGGCCAGGGAGAGCAGAAACACGGTGAGCAAGAAAATTTCGCCCGTGTTCTTTGTTCCCTGCTGCCAACCCCATGCGAGCGACAAGGGCAACAGAATGCTATCTGCAAGCAGCAAGCAAAGGCCACAAAGGTCCCACACTACTCTGAACTTGCCCAAGGGGTGAAAAATCACCTGTCTGCCTCCTTCAAACTCTGCTGAGAGGCCAGAATGCTTGTGAGGCGAATAGCGTAGTGTTGACGAGCCATTTCGGCGGTAATTTGACAATGCTAGCAAATCCTCCGCCTGCATCGAAAGTTGCATCCACCGGTTATGCAAACGTAGTTCCTTCCCTGTACCAAGAAAGTTTGTAGTCTGGGTAAGCGAACTGATCGTGCCCAAAGGCCAGTACCAGCCTGAAGTGCTTTCCCACTTTTTTTCTCTGTGCTCTGTGAGGGCCTGTGGTTCCTGTAGCTGCCTCATGTCATCCACAGTCCCTGAACGCTCTCTCCTGTTACCTGTGAGATTTGAAGCTTCGCTGTTGCTATCTCTGGGTGAAACTAGTCTCTCTCCGAGAGGACTCCCTCCCCGTAGCCGTAGTTGGTCGTCTACCTGGTTTTGGACCAGGTTCTCCAACCAGAAAAGCCTTTCCTTGATCCGGTGCATGAAACTGTCGATTTCATCTTGCACCGCATGGATTGCCTCAAGCTGCTTTCCACTTTGGTCCGGCACAGGGTCATCCAACTGCAGGGGCATGGCTGACCCTGACTAGCTACGCCCGCTACAACTCCCTAGTTTAAGAACCATGCTGCGGGCCGCAATGAACATACTTGAGCAAACCAGATTCATGGTTGTCTCAGTTCTCTCATTAGGTATTAATGACTCCAAGCTCGGAGGAACTGGGCAAGTCTTGTTCCAGTAAGCAACTCAACCGCCTGTCCAAAAATAATGTTCTAAGGATCTGCACAATGACACAAACATAAGCACGATCTATTGCTGCCATCTTCCTCGCCTTCAGGGCCCCCACAGCAAATGTCCCCCTTGACCTTGACAGCAGCAATGAATCAAACGTTGAATTCAAGCATCTTTCTTCTGCTTGATGCTAGGAGGATCGAAAAGCCCTTTCATGTAATCAGTCTGTTGGATTGATTGTATAATATATATAAATTTGTTGTGATCCCACTTCGGACTAGTTCCACTTTGTCCGGTAATCTATTCCTGTCATTTCTTCGCAAACATCTAGCAAGCATGCAATTGCTGTCTAATTACTCGATTCGGAAGCACTTCATCATGGCCATCATGGTTTCTTTGCAAAACTGACTTGAGGCCGGAGGTGAACGAAAGCTAGGCGGAGGCTGGGTCGCAACAACATGACGGGGGCACCATCAGACGGCGCAGCACATTCACAACTCCAAGAAAATAGCAAACGGGGGCGGGAGTTGATCCCCAGGGGAGGCTATATGTGAAGAATTATGACAAATCACTGGGATTGACCTCAAGTGGCTTGTTTGCAAAATAAGGAAGACGGATCAGACTCCAGCTAGCTGAGACTAGCTTGAAGATGAGCTCTTTCAATCTCTTTCATGACACTCCCTTTCTGAGTTATGGCACTCTCAGCTCGTGGCCGAAACTGCGGGCATATTGCACAGTCAAAGCGTGCCCCTTGCCGTGTGAGAGCGTAGCATATCATTTGCTCGGCGCTCTCCCAGCTCTCGGTGATCAGAACCGTCTTGAGGCATGTAGTAGCTATATACTTGCTCCTAGTAGTACGGCCAGGAGCCCCTAGTAGCGTCCTTGCTCCTAGTAGCGATGCCAGGAGCCCCGTGGCGTCTTGTTACTAATATAGCAAAAATAGCTAAGCAATGCTAAGCACGTGTGGTCAAATGATGGGGAAACTTACACCATATTGCAAAGCAGTGTGGTAGTTGACACTTGGAATGCAACACAGTTCCCAAGAGCGTCTGCGAAGGGTCTTTCGTAAAAAACATCTGTAGAACATTGTAGAACTACGTCTCACCTACATCTTCACATCTTCACATCTACATTTGCACATCTACATCTCTGCTCATCTTCACATCTTCACACCTGCACATCTTCACATTTTCACACCTGCACATCTTCACATCTTCACTCCTGCACATCTTCACATCTGTACATACAGTATTCTACATCTTCACATCTGCGCATCTCACATCTGCGTGTCGTGCGTGTCGAGGGCGCAAAATGCAGGTGAGACTGCGTTTTGGATTTGACCCGCGCAACCCTCTGCGGAGATCGTGCGCGTCGAGGGCGCGAAGTGCAGGTGAGACTGCGTTTTGGATTTGTCCCGCGCAACCCTCTGCGGAGATCGTGCGTGTCGAGGGCGCGAAGTGCAGGTGAGATCGCGTTTTGGATTTGTCCCGCGCAACCCTCTGCGGAGATCGCGCGTGTTGAGGGCGCGAAATGCAGGTGAGATCGCGTTTTGGATTTGGCACGCGCAACCCTCTGCGGAGATCGTTCGTGTCGAGGGCGCGAAATGCAGGTGAGATTGCGTTTGGATTTGTCCTTCGCAACTCTCTGCGGAGATCGTGCGTGTCGAGGGCGCGAAATGCAGGTGAGATTGCGATTTGGATTTGTCCCGCGCAACCCCCTGCGGAGATCGTGCGTGTCGAGGTTGCGAGAGGATGCGACATGCAGGTGGGATTGCGTATAGTTTTTTGTACGCTGGGAAGGTTACGCGCGCCAATGGCTTATATTATTCATATTTTTTGTGGCACAGAATGCGGGTAAAGTTTTCCAGTTTTTGAGAAAGTCTCGTGGAAAAGGTTCGTTTTGGACGCCTGTATTCTCACTTTGTTGTGGACTGGGCGGTGGTGACAGCGTTGTTCTTTGTTTTGGATTTGTGCGTGTATCCCAAAATTGCAAATTCGAGGGGTTCGTTCACGGGATTCTGTGCAGCAATTGAAGAGTTTGGACATGGAGCTGCTTCGAGCGATGACGTCGCCGTTGTGGTCGGAGCCTTACTTGGAGTCAGCGCTGCAAGGCGAGACATTTCCATAAAGCAATGAGATCATAGGCATTATTGATGGTCTGAAAAGATTCTGGAGCATATCTGTTTTTCATGACGCAATGGTGGTTGTGCAAAGAATTCGTTCTGCATCGGCGGACGCGGCGGAGGATGGATGAAGGAAGGCATCCGTGGTTGGAATGTACGGAGCTTGGATGTTTGCATGGAGGTAGTGAAGGCATTGCAAGTTTGAATGGGTAGAGTTTGCTTGCAGAACATGCTTGCGGAACAAGCTTTTGGTCTGAGTCGCATGCCCGTCACGCGTGTCATAGTAGTGTGGTGACTGTTCCATTTTTTGAAGGGATTGTCCGCGAGAATGGACCAGTTGCCGCGCTTGGAAGAGGGTTTGCGACTTCATGGCGTTGCATGGTTGGAGAGACGTTTGTCTTCTTTGCCTTTGACGACAAGGTTTTTCACTATTTTGTGGAAGCTGTTCATACAACATTGTGATCATATACCTTCTTGACGGCATGTCAGCCTGAGAGAATGTTGGATGTCATTTACAAACGCATTGCGGTACCGAGCTTTTGTATGAATATATATATATATATGGATATGTTCATATGAAATGGTCTTAGTGTTTGCCTTTCCGGGCATTTTGGTACGGAGCTTCTTTCGCAGACTTGCATGGTAATTTTCGTATGAGAATGAGATCATACGCGTCGTTCACGGCAATTTGCGTATGAGAATGAGATCATACGTGTTGTTCACGGCACGTTGGTACCGAGTTTTCTTTTCGCAAGCTCTGGCGACGATGTTCGGCTTGAGAGCGTGTTGGATGCTGTTTACAACCTCGTGGCACCGAGCTTTTATATTTATATATATGGATTTTCACATAAACACGCATGGTCTCTGCCTTTGAAGGCATTTTGGTACCAAGCTTTTCTGGAGACTTTCATGCAAATTTCCCTACAAGAATGAGATCATACGCGTTGTTCAAGGCATGTTGGTACCGAGCATTTTTGGATGACTTTTACACGATGCGGTTTGCGAATGTCTCGTGGAAAACGCTCGTTTTGGAAGTCTACATTCTCACCTCACTTTTTGAATGTCTCGCGCTCGTTTTGAAAACTTTCGTTGTCAGTTTTTGCGAATGTCTCGTGGAAAACGCTCGTTTTGGATTCCTTCATTGTCAGTTTTTGCGAATGTCTCGTGGAAAACGCTCGTTTTGGATTCCTTCATTGTCAGATTTTGCGAATGTCTGTGGAAAACGCTCGTTTTGAAAAACTTCCTTTCTGTGCTTCCATGGTGTAAAGTTGCACGAGAACTTGCAATTGATGATTGTTCGTCGTATGCATGTGAGAATTTTTATATCAAAGTAACGCAGTATTTGCCTTTGACGATGCGTCGGTACCAATGTTTTTTCACAATTTTGTGGAAACTGTTCATACAACATTGTGATCATATACCTTCTTGACGGCATGTCAGCTTGAGAGAATGTTCATTTACAAAAGCATTGCGGTACCGAGCTTTTGTATGAATGTATGAATATATACATATATGGATATTTTCATATGAAATGGTCTTAGTGTTTGCCTTTCCGGGCATTTTGGTACGGAGCTTCTTTTGCAGACTTACATGGTAATTTTCGTATGAGAATGAGATCATACGCGTTGTTCACGGCATGTTGGTACCGAGCTCTTTTTTGCAAGCTCTGGCGACGATGTTCGGCTTGAGAGTGTTAGATGTTATTTCCAAACCTATATTGATATAACTATATGGATTTTTACATAAAATTGCATGGTCTCTGCCTTTGAAGGCATTTTGGTACCAAACTTTTTTGGAGACTTTCATGCAAATTTCCGTACAAGAATGAGATCATATGCGTTGTTCACGGCATGTTGGTACCGAGCATTTTTGGATGACTTCTACACAATTCGCTGCGCAAACATAGGGTTGCTTGTATCGTTGACGACATGTTGCTGTCGAACTTTTCGACGTCGCATATCCGGAGTCTTCGATGGTGACCTTGTCTTTACCACTTGCGTCTACCTCTGTCGTGGGATCGTTTGTCATCGTTGATGCAACGACTGATGCGATGCATGGCGGAGACATTTGTAGCCTCTTTGCTCTTAAACGCCCTTGCTTGTCTTCTGCTTCTCCAGGAACGTATTCAAAGCCATGGAGCAGGCATCTGCAACATTGCGACAGCCTTTGTTGGATCGTGTCAAAGAGCGGTACAATGAGATCTTCTTGGTGGGCCGGCACCTTGCGGAAGGCGCCTGCATTGCCTGCCGGGATCCACAACAGCTTTTTACGTCTACACATCTACGCATCTACGTCTACATCTGCGCATCTACGTCTACAACATCTTTCATCTGCGCATCTACGTCTACACACCCTCACCTCTGTACATTTACATCTTCACACGCTCCGCAGATCTACCTCTCTACCTCCACACACCCACACATCTGCATCACACCTGCACATCCGCACTGTCACTCCTTCACATCCGCCCTCTCTTTCTCTCTTTCTACATATCTTTTCTCTTAATATGTTAGATCTAATTTCTTCGCAACCTCTTACTCAATAACATATTGCATAAAGAAGTCATGGCTCTTGGACAGCTCGATTTTAACTATTTCCTTACTCGGAATTGCTTGACAATCACCTTTTTCATCCTTTTTCACTCTTGGGCCAACCGTCGTCTAGTTTTTTGAATTTTTGCTCGCAAGTCCACTGCCTCAACTTTCAGCAAATGTCGTTCACGCCGGGCCAACTCTTCTGTTATAGCCTGAGCATTGGTCCCAGGCAGTCCAAGGCTGAAGTCCAATGGTTGGCTCAATGAGTCATGTGCATTCCCTCATGAACTCAAACATGCGGCTGCAAGTTTCTTTTCCTGCTCGCTTTCAATTTGGCAATTTGGGCGAAGAAATGTCGCCTTTCTGCTGAACTTTGGAGGATGTCTGAAGAGAATCATCCAAAGGCACAAAGCGAATTCGCGATTGAGGTATGCTTCATCGTGCACTAGACTTCCCAACGCACATGAAAGGCAGGTCACGACCCTGGTGCCACTTTACAGCACCGGATTCTAGACCTGTCCTATCTATCAACCTACTGACGGCTAGACTCTCGCCACTCGGCAACGGACACATGAAAAAAGTCATTGGATTATAACTATAATTATAGGTTTACCGGCGGTTTACCTATGTATTTTTCTGATACTTCCCCCGCCCACACAAAACCGTGGATTGTCAGGCTCCTGCTTCCATTTCCCGAGTGTTTCCTACGTTTCAGGAAACCAAGTTGTGATGTTTTCTCTCGTTTAAGCTGAAAAGCACCATCTTTTTATGAATGCAAAAGTTGGCCTGCTTCTTTTACATACAGTCCAGTTCTTTTCTAGTCCAGTTCTTTTCTAGATGAGCAGCAAAACTCGTGACCCATGTCTTTTTGGCCCGCGGCTGATATGCCACCCCTGCGCCTGTCACGTATTTTGTTGTTCGGTGTCTGAGCGGTGGGTGGGGTGGGGTGGG